TCTCTCTCTCTCTCTCTCTCTCTCTCTCTCTCTCTCTCTCTCTCTCTCTCTCTCTCTCTCTCTCTCTCTCTCTCTCTCCGCCTTCCTCCATTCCTCCAAAACTCTTGAACCCTTAACCCTTCCGCCACCCTTCTCCCTCCCCATGGCATGTGACTAACCTCTACCCTCACCTGTTACATTGTCAGGGAACGAACGGGAAGGAACTTAGTCCTCACTTGGTGGAAAGCGAGGGCAAGGGAAGGGATGTCGGTCCCTTGTGTCACCAAGAAGGAAAAGGATACGAGGCTATTGGGGACAATTGTGAAGCGAGAAGGAGTGCTGTTTTTGAACGAGGTCAGTTTGACTCAACCACCTCTCCCGACTGCATGACTAAGGTGAATGCATGGGCTGCTTGAGGGAAGGGAGGGGCCAAAACCAAGGAACCATGGAAGGGAAAGGGAAACTTAGGCTCGCAAGAAGGGCCGATGTGTTGACCCCAATGGGGATTGTACTTGGACATTTGTTTTGTGTGGTCATGCGCATGTGAGTAGCTTGGGACTATTCAGACGGGCTGGATCCACGGATTTGATGTATGGACTCGGCTTGCGTGGGATTGCATGGAATGTCTCTCTCATGTGCGATGTGACGCCTGAAAAGACTAAGGGCGGTCTTTGGTAGGTGGATGTGATGCTAGCGGTTCTCTCAAAAAAAAAGAGAATGTAGCGGCTAGGGGTTCGGGCGACGAGGCCTTACCCCAAGGATGCCGTCGGGGCTGCCGAGGGCCGCTAGGCTTAGTGAAAAGGTGCGTGGCCCAATGGATGACGCTTGGCCTGCGCGCGATAAGAAGATGAGACCTCAATGAACTCCCTCGACTGCCTGCGTATTGGAAGGAGCAATTGCCTGGTCAGGCCTAATCGAATCAAGAAAACGCCACGAGTGACCAAAGAGCTACCATCTTAACGCGAGAGCGGAGCTACATCCCCCAATGTAAAGCCCTCTCGCAAAAGGCCCATCCCCATCCATCTCAAAGCACTAGGTGGGGATGCCCCTGGGATGAACGACCCGCGCCCTAAGCGTGAGCGTGGGCGGGTCGAGCCAAATGGGACCCGCAGTGGGGTCGACTCAGGCTCGAAAGTCCTTCAGGGTACGGCCCCTACAAAAATGGTGGAGGTGCCGGGTATTTGGTTAAACTGACCCATACGATCTCGAGGGGGGCGCCCGACGCATGACCGAGAACACAAACATAAAGATAAGGAATATGGACTTGTGTATGCTCTATCCTTTGAGAGAATCAGATTTGAGGGTGGCTGGGTGCATGGCAAGGCCAGGCCTGGAGGAAGAACATGCATGTTTGCACTCTTACTCAGCCATCTCCTTTGGAGATGACTCTAGTCCTCTTTCCCTTGGACTAATGTTCGTCAGGCTAGGGAAGCCTTGGGCAAGCCACAGGTCGACCCTTCCTCTTTGTGCGAAAGAAGGGCTCCGGTTACCTGGCAGACGGTTGGGATTCCGGGCCAGTCCGGGTTCCAATGAAAATCCCGCGGCGGAGTGATTCGATCGACATGGGTGCTTCTCTTCTTCTTTTCGGAGCCCAACGGGGTTCGTGCACCGCACTTAAATGCTTGAAGGAACCTCATATGAACACAAACGGTAATCGAGAAGGAACAATCCTGCCCTATGAACGGACACACAAGTGAAGATGAAGGGAATGAAGGGAGTTGCTAGACTCCAGGGAAAAACTAGCTCCCCCTTGAGGGCACTATGTGTGGAAAGTAGGGGTGAGTGGCACATGCTGCCGTGAGAGAAAATTTGTGAGCTATGGGTAGGAAGCGCTGGGTGCACCAGGGGAAAGGCACATGTGATATGTGTGTCCCACTTGGGACTTGTGATTGCATGATTGGGATTTCGAGCGTCCTGCCATTCGGAAGGAAAGGATTGGTTTGCGCCGTCCGGTGCGGGATGCGAACTGGTCGTCCACTTTGAAGTTCACCGGGTTCGGTGTGTGGGGATCGGGCCACCGGACTATCAGGCAAGGGTTGGTCTCGTCGGCTGATTAGGAACATTCTCACCCGAGCGGTCTGAGCATGGCTCAATGACCTTGCCTAGGCGGGGTGTGAAACCTCTTCAGGTATGGGGCAAGGAAGGAGCCTCGGAGGCGATTAAAAGCTGCTCGTAGCATGGCTTGGGAAAAGTTGTTCCTTATCGGACCGATGGAAGTGAATGCCTGGACGGCTGGCTCCAATAGCCCTACCGAGATGTGCGGGGTGATTCCCGAGATTAACGGTGGGTACACGAGCGGCAAGTCGGGATGGGGTATTATGGGTAAGGAGGAAAGGGCGAATGCCTTGCTGAGACCTGGGTACCGCGCTCGTGATGGTTGAGCTGTGCTGGAGGTATGGGCTGAAAAACCTGTCGATAGTAACAGTGGAGAGACCATTTCTGGGAAAAAGGTCGGTGAGGAGATGACCGACCTGTGTGCGACGTTTGCCTGAGTTTGCTTTTGTGCCTCCCTCTGTAAAGTTGCCTGATGAATGTTGGAAGGGGACCGAGCTTCTAAGTCTATTCTCACCTCCAAGTCTAAGTCCGCACGAGTGAGAGAACATGAGGAAGAGGCTGGATAGGAGTCGGAAGAAGATGGAACCAAAAAGAAGGAATGCGGGCCACTGGCGATCGATTAAGGGTACAGTGGGACAATGGCACTTGGGAATTGGATAAGAAAAGTTAGGGAGACCCGGATGAGGGGTCTGAAAACAACTCTCATCTAGGAAAGGAAAAGCAAACCATCTAACCATGAGGGGGCCGTGTGGTGCTCTCATGTGGAAAACAGGGTAAGCG